AAGAATGCCAAAATACCCCACACTGTTTCTTTTGAGAAGAAAATCGTTTACCAAATACAGAAGAATGTGAAGTGCACAAATTAGCACAAGAAATAAACAAAGTAAACATAACTTAGAGATAAAAAGACAATTACAATAACTAAACCCCTAACAAAAAAAAGCAAGTAGCCAAACACATTAAACAAAAACCATGCAAACAAACAAAGAAAGCAAAACAAACACCTCAGAACAAGCCCATGAAAGCACAACATCTCAACCAACAGAAGATAAGAGAACGCAATTAACGCATGGAAATTAACAGAGCCACAAAGCCTCACTTTAGGCCAAAGAACCCCAAACAAACAAAAATCAAACTCCAAAAGAAGACATGTACTTCCAGTGACACACAACAAACAGCATGCCCAGTTATAAACAAACAAACACAACATCAACAATAAGAACACAAATCCAAAATAAACAGCAAACAAAAAACATATTAAATTCACCCACTACATGGTCATTACTGACCCCAATAATACACAGAGATAACACAAACGACAATAATGAAAGAAATGTAGAGGATTTTTCCTAGACAAAAATAGCTAAAAACATATTCAACCAACCCTTATTTTCCCATTCATTGAATTGGCTGGAAAATTCAATACTGTTAAAAATCGATACAGTTATTATTGTTATTGATGTTATGTATTATTATTCTAGGCCAAACAAAAATCAAACTCCAAAAGAAGACATGTACTTCCAGTGACACACAACAAACAGCATGCCCAGTTATAAACAAACAAACACAACATCAACAATAAGAACACAAATCCAAAATAAACAGCAAACAAAAAACATATTAAATTCACCCACTACATGGTCATTACTGACCCCAATAATACACAGAGATAACACAAACGACAATAATGAAAGAAATGTAGAGGATTTTTCCTAGACAAAAATAGCTAAAAACATATTCAACCAACCCTTATTTTCCCATTCATTGAATTGGCTGGAAAATTCAATACTGTTAAAAATCGATACAGTTATTATTGTTATTGATGTTATGATTATTAAATTGTCATTGGAATATTTTAGACAGTGAAATGATACAAAAAAACCCTTTCCTAAAGTGAAGGAAAAAGGTAAACAGGTGAAATAGGTATTTCTTGATAACTGGCTATTTGGTGATTAAGAACTTGTGGAGCCATCTATGTGTAAATACAATAAATAAACGTGTATCAAAGTGGATATGGCATCTATTCTTGCCACGTAACTTAAATATACTCAGAATCTAACTAAAATGGAAAAAAACAGAAAATTTAAAAGTAGATATTCTAAGCAGAATAAATACAATGAAAAAAATAACTTCATTAATCTGGGGAGCAAACCGAATTTTATTAAAATTTTATAAAATATATATAAATCCAATAATATAATATGGATTAACAATCTATGGAGCAGCAAAAGAAACAGAATTAAGAAAACTAGAAACTTTACAAAATCAAGTAATATGACTGGTATGGTATTTCAGAGAACATACAATCAAACTTTATGGACAATATAACAAAAATATTCCTCAAATTATCATTCAAAAACAAGGAGTTAACAAATATTAATTATAGAAACTTTAATAGAATTTTCACTGATGATGCAAAGAGAAAAAAGATAATCAATATCAGCAGCAATTTTTATCTAGAACAAAAATATAACAACTACTTGGAAATTACCTCCTAAAATAAAAATCCTCATGCAGAAATGTTTGCCATAAAACAAGGATTGAATTATGTAATAAACACCAAACTGACTAATACAGTAATATTCTTACAATCATCATTACAAGTAATACAAAACCCCAAAGCATTAAATTATAAACAAATCATATATGAAATACAAAAACAAATCTACTTTCTCTCAACACAAAAAAATTATGATTCAATGGATTCCATCACATGAAAATATAAAGGGAAACAAAATGCCAATCTAGCTGCAAAGAAAGCCCACAAAATAAATAATCCCATGCCCATACCCCAAGACCCAAACTATATCATAAAAGAAATAAAATAAGAAAAAAAAAAACACCAAATAATGGGAATCTCATTTAAAAAGAACTTTAAACACAAAAACCTATTTCATCAAAGATAACATCCAAAACCATAGCCAAGTACAAGAAACATGCATCACAAGGCTAATAACCGAACACACAAGATAGTGCAAGAAATATGAACAGACTATTAAACACATGCTACACTACCCAAGATTTAACTCCCACAGAACAAAACTAAAACATGCTTTAAGATGAGTGAACATAAAGGATATTGATACAAATCTTCTGATTACAGGTGCAGAACAACCATCTACAATAAAATACTACATACTGAGAGATATATTTTCCTACAAACAACTAAATTAATTGATATAATTTAAGAAACAAGCCAAAAAAAAAAGGATGCAGGGGAAACAGACTTCAACAGTCTAAAACCCTATAACAAGAAAGAATGATGATGTTAGTAAAGCATTGTTAATTGTTTACAAAGTGATCACACCCTCTGAAATTAACCCATTGGTGCCGGGTATGATGTGTACGTACGTCCTATGCCCACCGTGAGTACTTGTTTGATTGTTTTTACGCATAGATGGCAACACTTGTACTAAATCACCAATGAGCCAGTTACGAGTACCGCCCGTCTCGCCCGTTTACCCATTTCTCTGATTTACAAAATATTTTACGTAATCTTATTTTACTGTTACTAATGTTAACAAACATTATAAAAATTATAATGTTTATGATAAAAATAACACCATCGATTTTCATCGCACTAGTGAAAAATACGTTTTTCCCGCCATTTCATATCAGGCGCTAGCAGAGCCATCTATCGGCAAACATTTCACAAAAAACATAGAAAGTGGGCACAGCATTTTCTCCATTTTTTGTTCATTTTCCCCGGCACCATTGGGTTAAAGTCCTCATTATTACTGCCATCCATGGGGATCAACAAACATCACCATATGAACTGAAAACCTTCCAAAGATTAGAGCTTCGCCCCCAACCCCACCCAGGGTGCATTCTACGTAAAACTCACGCTGGAGGTACGCCAATAGCTCAAGTGTACGCCAATGTTCCCGATAAGAGTAATTTTTCATAAAGTATGATGCCAAGTTATAGCCATGGAAGTGATAAAAAACAGCCACAAGGAGTGTAGGGGGAGGGGGCGTGCATTGTAAAGGAATAAAAAAATAAGACTATGTATAAGTGCATTGCGTTCAACTTGAAAGCTTGAAAAAGCAGTAAAAATAAAAATGCATGCCCTGAGATTTTTCCATTTCATTACGCCAATATGCCAAGGAATATAATTTATGCAAAATCCCCGCCGCCACACCGACAGGAAAGGTAACTCCACGCCGGAGATCTTCAGGCCTAAGTGCATGAAAGGCACCCTGGACCCCCACCCTGTCACTGTATTGCCCTGTGGGGGAGGAGATTTTACCGAGATACTGAAGGCAGCGCAAATCGGCGGACGCAGAAGAGCCTTCTCAACAGTTAACAACAGGACCCCTAGATTCTTCATAAAATCATCAATCATCATGGCCAAATCCTACATCTGAACCAGCCCCAACTAAACTTCACGGCGACAAAAGAATTAGACACGATTTCTTCATTAAAAATGTTACTACTACGTCTTATCGTTGCAAAATCACAACGAAGGCAAAAGGTTGCAATGAAAGACAGTAAATCTTACGGGATAACGCGTCTGAATCTCCAAGGCAGCAGACGAAACAGCATGGACCGGGAGGCTTTGTTTACAAGCTCATCGGCTAGCTGCACGGCCGGCACTCAGCTGAAACGAGGCTTGGACAGAGGCAAAGAAATGGCTTGGCTTCGCTATGTTATACAACTGAGTCTGTGGATATATTTCATTCAATTACTTATTAGTAAATAACGTGTGTGTGTGTACACACACACGCGCGCACACACAAACACAAACACACACGCACACGCACACGCACACGCACACGCACACGCACACGCACACGCACACGCACACGCACACACATACACACACACACACACTTACTTATTAGTAAATAACGTGTGTGTGTGTACACAGACACGCGCGCGCACATGCACACGTACACACACGTACACGCACACACACACGCACACACACACACACACACACACACACACACACACACACACACACACACACACACACACACACGCACACGCACACGCACACGCACACGCACACGCACACACACACGCACACGCACACGCACACACACACGCACACGCACACACACACACGCGCGCACACACACACACACACACGCACATGTTCTATAGTTTGTGTAGGCATCAATACTATTCTTTGTTTAAAGTCGTGGCAGCGCCTGACCTATCATTCTGAAAGTGGAAAGCTCCAAGCATGAATGAAATGTGACGTCATAAAGGACAAAGATTGGAAATGTAAAATGGAAAATCCACAATTTGTGAAAGAGAAAAAGTCGTGTATTTTCTATTAAGGTACAGTTTTGTTTCTTGATTTATTCTACCATCAACCGTTGTATATATTTATATATCGATATGTTTTTTTGTTATTTACATCCACTTGTTCTTGTAATTTGCGAAGTAACTAGTTACCAATGAAAATGATGAAAGTCTAAATGTGTCACTTATTTACCGGGAAATTACACCGGGAAATCAGCAACCCCGGAGTCAAGTAACATCAACATTAAAGCAACAAAAAATCAATTGCTTATCATCCATGATAAAATGACAGATAATTACAAAAGTAAATAATTACAAGAGAAATGAATTTGTCAGGAAGGGTGATGACTGGGTTATTTACAATACACTTTGACCAAGAAACGCTCCCAGCTGAACAAAATCATTCATTATTTATCGTTTCATTATTTCGACAAGCATTGAAAAGGCATACGTAACTGCAGTTGCCGTCGCCTTCGGGTCGATCCCTGTGAGTAGAAATAGCCTTCCTGCGTCCCTTCCGAGCCGTCGCTTCGCTGATTAGTAGCAACCGCCCAAGTGACGGCGATATTTATTTAGAAATGTGGGAGAGACTTCCTGCGCG